TCAATGAATAAATCATTTTTTATATATGAACAATGATTTTAGTCACTGTAAATATACGAACAATAATTACTACTGATTTTACTAGAAATTATGTTCTTAATTGAATTGATTGTGATGCTACTCTTTCATGTTTTCATTTATTGAATTGATTTATTTTTTATAAAAATTAATATACTTAAATTAAATTAGTAGATCTTATTTCTATAAAGTTCTCCATCGTTATTCTTTTTTTCCATATGCTTTTGAAGAAAAATAAAGATGAAATAATTATGAAACGGATAGCCTGAAAGCACGAGAACTTTCACTTTTGCAAACAGTTATAATCATTCATCAATAAAAAAATGTAATTTATGAAAAATTATATCTGGTGTTTGAAAATAGGTTTTTAGCCTTCGCATCTATATAATTTCAAACGCGCTCATTAAGATAAAATTTTTGATATATTTGACAGGATATCCTCGTGAAATGTGATAGTTAGAATTATTCTTTCCATGTAACTGTTGAATTGAAATTTGGTAATCTCAAAATAATCATAGCTATTTCTATATTGGAAATTAGTAGATTTTACGTTGTCTAACATTGTATTACCTTGTATAAAAAATTTTTAATCGTACTGGTTATAATTTCAATTTCGATAGTCATCGGATTTAACTTAACCAAAGGATAAAGCTTATCTTTTTATATAGTAATTTTTCATCTCAGTTGATGATTAGAGCATGAAATCATAAACTAAACAATGGAAGCTCGAGAACATCTGCGATATACAGTAAACGAGAAAATGCATCGCTCATTCAAGTGGATTGTCCCATTGCTTTAATGCGCATACACATTGTGTTCTTTGTGACCTTGACTCTTCGCCTATTAGACCCCGGTCCCATAGCTATGTATGAATGCGGACGGATACGGACGCGAATCGCAACTCTAGTAACATCACTAAAAATATCTAGTTCGATTATTTAGTACCAACACTACCGGTAGTGAGCAAAAGTAACTGCTGTTTAAAACTGTAGCGCCGAACGTACCACATTTAATGTTCAAATGTCAGGTCTACAATTTACTTTTCAAATTCTCATGAATATTGCTTATTGATGAGTATGCTAATGTAAAAAAAGCTTTTGGGATGATTAATACATATCATTTATATATATTTTCTTCTTCTTTTCATATATTCAAGTACTTCCATAAAATTAAGGCCTAATTCCACTAATTGCCATCGCTAATAATTCATTTGCCATCTTATAGACTGCAATAATGTAAAGGTTAAATAAGCGTTCAGTAAATGTGGTACGTTCGGCGCTACAGTTTTTAACAACAGTTACTTTTGCTCACTACCGGTAGTGTTGGTACTAAATAATCGAACTAGATATTTTTAGTGATGTTACTAGAGTTGCGATTCGCGTCCGTATCCGTCCGCATCCGTACGTATCTATGAGACCGGGGCCTTATAAAGACCACGTGAATAGTACTGCCCATTTTCCATGTAATTTTTGAATTTCCAAGACAATGTCGTTAACACAGTAGAAATCAAGCATAGGAAGGAACGCGATTACTTATTTTTCATAGGGTACAATAATATTCTTAATTGTATTAAATCGTTTTACATTAAGCAGAGTCAATTGCATTTAAAACGCAATATTTAACAGATGATGCCAGTATTCAGTAGTCGCCATAAATATCTTACGTGTAAAAGTGAACTAAGTATTTTTTAAATTTTAAATATCTAATGATATTGTTTTACAAAAATGAGCGGAATGGCGCAGTCAGATGTGGAGTATTCAAATCATGTAGCTATTAAAGTGGATCTTACGTGTAATAGTTGGTAGAAAATAATCATTGAAGGAGTACATTTACCGCACGTCTTGTAATGTGTTACTTAGAGAGATTGAAATCTTCTTTATAATATTAGGTAATAATAATTTTTTACTGTTTTTTTATGTATTATAAAATTTATACTAATATTAAATTGATTTATATCCATTGATAGACGATCCAATTAACATTAATATTGTATAAATAGGTACTTATTTATAAAAAATTAATTTAACGAATGAATTTTATGTTGAGATATAATGTTAATAACAAATAGATAGTAATTTAATATATTTAACTATACAACGTAATTATTAAAAAAAATGCAAATGTATAGCACTTAGTAATCAACATGCACATCTAAGAATGCAAATAAGCTGAATTTAAAAGCACTGACGTGTCACAATGTAAAACAATCGTTCCATCAATTGCTTTCAATTGGAAAATCTTGTATAGTAATGAAGTGCTTACGATAGATGCCAAGTGACGAGTGAAATATTGAGTATGAAATAAGAGATACTCAATGCATTTATATTTAAATACATATATGCATATTTGAGATAAATCAATATTGTTCGATTTTTATTTCTAAATAAATAACTATTGTTACGACAGACTACATCTTTTATCTGTATATTTGTTTACGATATTTTAGATAAAAATACTATTAGCTTTTGTGCTAATCTATTCTTTCAATATTTACAGTAAAAAAGTGAAAAATGGTTCATATCTAAATTTTCTTCGTATTTGTAAATAAACGAGATTTTGTATTAAGAAAACTTTTTCACTGAATAATTAAAGCTGCTATCACTGCCGGTGCAATGTTATATCAACTACTTTTTATCAACCAACTAACTAACTTGTGAGAGTAGCCTCTACTATAAAAGTTTTATTGGTTTAATACTTGATAAGGTTTGCGATTTTATAAGCAAACACACGAGACCCAGGTTGAATATCTTTAAAGTAATAAATGAGCGTTCTCTATATAGGAAAATATCAAAAATTTATTTTATCTTATTAATAGCTTTTTAAATTTAATTAGATTAGATTTTTTAATCTTAACACATTTTTTTTATGGTCTACTCTTATCTTTTGATATTTAAAAAAGTTTTCCGGAGAGATGAAGTAAAATAGAATATTATAAAGTAACTAAAAAATTTTTTTAATTAACCATGAACAAATTACGATATTCATAATTTTTGAAAATTAGATTAATATTTGCAAATAGTCTTTTCAGCAAAGTTCTTTACCAGCACAATGAAAATGTAGTGAGATAGGGTTACAATGTTGAAAGTGAGTGAGTCACTTTTTAGCATCTATGAAAGCAAGCAGTCAGCAAAAAAGAACGAATCATACGATTTCATATATACACAACTCAATGCGTGAATACAAAGCGCGAGTACTTGCTAATAGTGGCCGATTATCTGTAGTCGAAGTGTAAAAAAAATCGTTGGAAAAGAACCAAATTTAAAGATATATCCGGGCCAAGAATATCGTGCGTCGACCTCGTTTCAATAGCAAATGCGTAACATTAAAAAAAAGTGGAGAAAGAAGAAAAAAAAGTGAGCTTTTCTTTAAGAATGAATGGCCGTAATTTCTATCATGATGTTGGGTATACGTTTGCGGTGAGGTTAACGATTCACAAGCTCGTTAAGGGATGCTCTAGGAATGCGCGTAGTCGATCAACGTGTGCGCTGGACTTAATTTGTGTGCTGATTTTTAGGGGCTTCACACGTGAGCCACTTTTTTGTGCGAGCCACGCTTTATCGACAAACTCTCCCCCGTATAAACGCGTGCGGAATAAGAAATGAATGGAAAATCTGGGGAAACGTAGAAATCATCGGAGAGTAGAATTTTTCTTTTAGTTTCTTTTTTGCGCTTTTGACTTATACTTTTGTTTCGATTTATTTGTTGCTGATACTTGAACAAGTTCTTACCATGATAAAAATTTAATGTTCACTATAAAAAAACTTTTTAATTTCAAATGATAACACCATTAATTTCTTACAAATTTCTTATGCTTGGGAACTTTGATGATATTTCGTGATGCTACTGACCGTTGACTTGTATCAACAGTGGCAAGTTTTACCAATAAATTAATCTTAGAAAAATCTTAATTATGTTAATGACACTATTGACTGTCAGTAGAGTTACCGTTCATCGATCTATAAATCCGTATTCTTGGGATAACTATTCGTTCTGCAAAATAAAGACCATCAGCTAGGGTAAAGTACGAGATAAGCAGATCACGGTCGAGTATACATCGCTCGGCGAATGAACTGTGTCAGCACCTGAGCCACATACATATATATATATACACACACACAGCAGTAGTGGAGACCGTCGTTCGGTCAAATACATAATGCGATTTTTCCATTTCTCGCTTCGCTTCACTTGCCTATGTATAAATGCGTGTTGCTGCGCCAAATGCGAGCAAAGAGCTTTACTTCCGGGATTTATTCGTCAAGCGGATTTAGTGATTCTTACTAGCCCTGCTACTACTGTCAGCTAGAAAGTGATATTTATTGACTATTATTGCATATGTTTTACTATATCTATCTGCGTATTTATCATCATACTTTATTTTTATGTAACAGGTTGAGTGATAATGATGATTCTGACATTATAAACTTATCTTTCTGTAGCAACGACATTATTCAGTATTCACATTAAATAATATGATGCATATAATAATTAATTAATATACCAAAAAATTCCTCGATCAAATTATTTTAACGAGTCATCTTATATATATCGTGGTATTTAATTAAAAGTTGATGGAGATTAAACGCGATCAATAAGGTCTATCTAAATGCTCTAAGAACTCTTCATATTCCGTGACTATAACCGACTACAAAATTACATATCATACAATTGGCAGTACTCAATCTTATATGAATACTAGTATGTTAAAGCTATTTATTACTACTATTTTGTAAAATTTATAGAAATTATTATTCGTAATAATCATCCCAAAACAATATACTCATATTTACTTTATCCAATATCAACAAAATAATAATAACAGTAAACTCTGTAAAGTAATAAACGATGGAAATGATGAAAATGTTGTTCAAATTCTTTTTAAATCTATAAGCAAACACCATTTAATCATAACATCTAAGAAATCAAGTAAAAAAAAAAAATATATATCCCATTCTATTCGATGTACTTATTACTTGTGATTCCAGCTGAAGCGGAAATTGACAGAAGTCGGATTTCTGTTGCTCCTGGTAGGTAAAGATGACGAAGAGATTCGAGTTTAATTGGCAGATAGAAGTACCGGAGGTACTGAGGACCGGATGCGTTTTCGATCGATGGTCTGAAGAGAAGGACAACACGGAAATTGAGCCGAACTGCTTCTTTAAGGTCGACGAGTATGGTTTCTTCATCTACTGGCAGAGCGAAGGAAAGGTAATTATGACGAAAGTCATACGTGCGTAACTCGAGCACAGTTGTAAAGGCTGCCTTTGATTAGGTCGACCTACTCTATCTATTTCTACGTCATATTTCATAATTTAAGTTGAATGCCGTGTTTTAACTCATAATTACGAATTTGTTTTACATAAAATTAAACGACATTGAAGTACTATTCTTTGAATTCGGTATTAAAATTAAAGCTTATAGAAATCACAACGTAGAACAAAAAAATATAGATACAATTTATTGTTTTTTTTTACTATTCACAGTGATTACTTACATCATTCGAAGTGTTTTTATAGCTTTCCTGAAAACTACGTGTATGAAAGCGACTGTCAATATTATGTCGCTAATTTTAACTTACTATGTTGTGTCGCTGCAGCATTGACCTTATATCGATTCTTAAACTTTTACATAAAGTTAGTCTTGTTTATGACACATGAAGGATACTAAGATTATATCAAATAATGACTTGTAATGTTCCATTATTTGCTAATTAACTAGTTTGAGTAACTTTTCTACTACTTTGGCAGGAAACAAGCAATTACACGAGCCAGATGCGCACAAAGTACTTACTTGCCTATATCTTCTTTTCCATTTACTAATGAGTCATACACCTACGTCAGCGAATTTGAAAAAAAAAAAATTGTTATTAAGCTCATCTGTTAAAACCCGTTTTCTTTATTCTAGCGGCTCTTCTAATTAATCCATCACCTGTCGTATTTTACCAGGCTTTCAAGTGAAAAATTGCACTGCTTACAAAAGCTTTTGAAAGAGAATGATAGAAGTTTCTTCTACTTCTTCTTCTTCTTCTTTGGCTCAATGTTCAGATTTTCCACGACCTTAGCCCAAGCAAAAAGCCATTGTCCTGCTTTAACGAGTCGAAAAAGCGTTTCGAGCTTGCGCGCCTCTTTCGCTTCATCACCACTGCTGCACCAATGTATATATCTATACAATCTCTTTTCCAGGTTTTCTGTTTTTGCTGACTGAATCGGTAAAAGACTCGTCTCGTATCCCCTGGGAGGAGGCGCAAATATGGTCGATCGATCGACACACGCTATAGCTATTCTACGTACTTTCTTTCGTCCATTGTTTTGCTGAATAATTCAAGTGCAAAAAATGAGGTGGAGTCAGAGAGATACTAAGAGAATCGAAAACAATATCAGCTATGTATGCCTGTTGCTCTCTCGCTCTCCGCATCAGACTGTCACTGGCAAATTAATTAAAAACTTTGAATCGCTGAAGCGTACGATGATTGATGTACATGAAAATACTGAGCTGCTTGTCAGGGCTGATTTATTTCAGTTGGGAATTCATCATCTTTCTGATTTTTAATCTAATTTAATCGAATTTGGGTTATATGTTTTCCTGAGCTCGTTGTTATAATTAACAAATTGATTAACACACTCCTATGAAAGGATATTCATTTCGTAGGATTGTGGGACAGTCAAGCACGAAATGTTCGTGACAACTTTGTAATGTGATTTTAGCACGTGATGAGCTAGGATGTTTATTTATCACACTAGTAAATTCTATTACACAGCAGAGTTATTTTAATAATCAAATGTACTGGTATGATAGTATATTTTTCTTAAATAATTGATCATTTGATAAGGAAAAATATATGGTTCCTAGGTTTCTCCCATTCAAGTGAAAAATAAATTTAAATTAACTCATCTGATAATATTCCATTCTGATATCGACATGTTAAAGTTGAAAACAAGGAACCACGTTGAACAATAAATGACAATTATTATAAACTGTAGTACAATTTAGATTATATTCTGCTTTGATGTAAATTCTCTGATTAAAAGTAAACAACCTTTATAATCGGAAAACACTCGACATTTTTTCACTGATGATTTTTCTATTTTTTATTCAGCGTACCATCAAAGATTTGTCCCACTAACCTGCTTTTCCAGCGTGCAAACGAAAATTATCTTGCAAGAGCTATACGTAAAAAATTGTTTAATTTTTGGTTATAAAAGTATTATACTAATTGAGTTAATTAAAATAATGCCGATTAACCAAATAGTATTTAATCATACCTATATAATCTATGTATTCGTTATTGTCTTCGAATAAAAATTATATTACTTAAAAAATTCTTATAAAAAATATATAAAGAAGCATAGAAAAAAAATTAATATAGTTTTCTAAAAACCACATCATCATTACAATAGATATTTCATACAAATAAAAATTGAATATAATATACAAAATATAATATACAAGTCAATATTGATTCTCCAAGCAACAATAAACACAAGCTTTCAGATAGTCCAAGATAAAATCAGACTTCTCTTCTTTTTTCAGGACGGAGACGTCATCGAATTGTGTCAAGTGAGTGACATACGTGCTGGTGGTGTGCCCAAGGTAAATAATTTGCCTAAGTGCACTTTTATGAAAACAGAGAATATAGCAAGTAACAAGGCGTAGTCCGATGAAATGAACGCAAAATGGTTTTATACTTGATTTAATAGTTGCGAAAAGCTTTCCTCGAGTATATTTATTTTTTTAAGGAAATTAGGCGTGATTATATTGCTGATAGAACAAATATTATTTCTTAACACAAATTAAGTTACTTCATGTACGAAAATAGTAATTTGCAAAAATTCGTACAAAAACATTTATAGTTTACACTGGAAATTAAAAAATGTCAAATAAGCATTAACTTAGTTTTGTAAACGTACCAAAAAGTTATTTAAATAAACATTTCTTTCAATGTATGTAATTGTGTCTTCTGAAGCTGAATATTAGTTTAAACTGGTTTTGCGAGCGAGAATAGTAGCGAGTCATTCGTCTTCAACGCTTACGCCATTTATTATAAGCAACGTAATTGTCATTATATGAAGCATTCTTTAACTTCTTGCAGGATCCAAAGTTATGCGATAAGCTCAGCGCCAAGAGTAATGATTCACTGGAGGAAAGAAGTTTAACCATTTGCTCGAATGTGGACTACACAAATATCAATTACCAACACGTCGTGTGTCCTGACGCTGTCACAGCCAAAGTAGACATTTTTATGTATTTATATTAGTTATATAATAACTTCATTCATAAATATTGATTGTTATGCTATGTACATTGCAATCTGCTCTTTTCAATACAGTTAAATTAATGTATTCATTACGAATTCCAATTTTTACATAAAGTATTAAAAAGGTATTTACGGCACCAGAAATTGATGACTATCTATTAATTTAAGAGATATCTGCATATGTATTAGATGTGACAATCTAATTTGTTTACTCTATTCCGTATTTTAATATAGTATTAATATTTATGGAAATATTCATTTAAAATACGAAATAACTAATCTATAAAAAATTAATAATATTATTAAAATCTATAGTTCCTGTAACATATTAATCTATACCAAAAAAGCGTTTACTGCTATGTTATTTAACATGCTTACACGTAATATTCCAGCTAGTATCCAATTTTAAAGTGTACAAGCACAAAAACTACTTATACGAATCAAAAAGAAAAAACTTGCCGTGCAACATCGATTTGTCGCGCGTTTAAATTTACACGTGATACGTCACAAACTTTGCGTGTGCGCGCATAAAGGCATCTTTACGAACCAATAAAGTGCCCGACAGTCTATATACAAACCATGCGCAAACAAATTATTGACAAAAGAAAAAAAAGCGATTTATCGGTACGTTAGTATGCATACATTATTACTTCGGATTAATTACTTCGCAGCTTTTACGACTGTTTACCAAATGATTCAATATAGCTTGTAAAAATTGCTCATTCTTTTCTGATCATCTGTATGATGTTACACAATTGCTCATCCAATTTTCAACCATGATCATACTTATGTATTGATATTTAAATGTTGCGGTTGTATATCGGGGGCCTATTATAATAACGTTGGTTACGTTATTGCAGACGTGGCTGGATGGCATACGATCTATTACGCATAACGTGAAAGCCAACAATGTCTGCCCAATGACGTGCCTAAAGAAACAGTGAGTTCACATGTGTAATCCAATTTGCTATTCACGTGCTATTCATGTTCTCTGTAATTCTTTTGTTCCTTTTTATTATCTTTTAATTTAAACATTTATTTTGTTCATATGCATCGCTTCTATATTTTTATATACTTTTTTATTTTTATTTTTTTGTTTTTCCCATTAGAAATACTTGTTCATCTTTTTCATAAGTTAAAAATTTTTCTAAAACTTTTTTCAGGCTTAATCGGTCATTGATAAAATAATAGAAAATCATTTTAACAGCTTTTATTATTCCCTAACTTGCGCAATTTTGTATTTGAGAGTTTTCTTTTCAAATCACCTTGTATATCGTTTAATATATCCATATAGAGTAGATATTCTACGAAAATTCCACTGATACGATACAATGGGAAACTCACAGTATCGTTTTGATACGAAAAGCAAAGCAATAAAGGCAGAAATCAGGTCGTAACTGATAGTGAATTTCAATCCAAATACAACAAAACATAACAATGAATCGTTTGTTTAACGTGTATATAGTATTGTTTCGTAACATTATTTTAAATATTTTTTATCTATTTCTTTGAATATTCAATTATTACATACAGTCAAATATTACACGTAATACACAATAAAAACTTCGAAATTTAGAATATTATATTTTTTACTCTTTCGAATTCCAGTTGGATGAGACTTCGGATGTTGGTTGATCCGAATGGCAAAGTTCCCGTAAAGGTGGTTGCAAGGACTTTTGCTTCTGGAAAAACGGAGAAATTAGTATATCAGTGCCTTTCTGAGTTGGGCCTACCAAGCGGCAAGGTATAATTTTAAATACAAACATGTGAAATATTTGAAAATTTATCATGAAACATCCAATAGTTATTTGAGCTCATGTGAAAGAAAAAAACGTCTGTTTATTTTTATTGTTAGTCTATTTGGTCTAAGGAACAAATTAATTTTTTTTCAGTATCATCGAAATAAGATGTAACAATACTTTTACAATATGATTTCTTAAATAGTATCTTCAATTAAATAAAAAAAATGATATTTTCAGAATGATGTGATAGAACCGGATGATTTTACTTTTGATGCATTTTATGCACTTTATCATAAAATTTGTCCTAGAAACGATATCGAGGAACTTTTTCAATCTATGTAAGTTATTTTTTATAAATAAATTAATTGTTAATACTCAACAATATATCTACAATGATATTCATATCAATAAACTCTTCATAAAATTACTCATAAAATTTCTTAGAACTCAAGGGCAAGCTGATACAATAAGTTTGGAACAATTTATAACGTTTCTGAATGAAAAACAGCGGGATCCTACGCTGAATGAAATCCTTTATCCTTTCTACGATGAAAAAAGAGCTACAGAAATTATCAATGATTACGAACAAAACGAGACAATTAAAAGTCAAAGTAAGTGTTTACTATTTTGTTGAGTAAATTAATAGAAGTAATAAAGATTTTGAGAATTTCAAAGCTTTAGAAACGAACATGGTATATTATAAATTCATTAACAACCCAATGTTTATAATCTCTAACAAAATTTGATGATTTCATAGGGCAGATGACCAAAGATGGCTTTATAAGGTACCTGATGTCAGATGAAAATGCACCTGTATTTTTGGACCGGTTAGACGTTTACATGGATATGGATCAACCATTAGCGCATTATTATATCAATTCAAGTCACAACACGTACTTGAGTGGTCGTCAATTTGGTGGCAAAAGTAGTGTTGAAATGTACAGACAAGTTTTGTTAGCGGGTTGCAGGTAACTACAAATGGAAATAATACTCTAATAATACTGTTAATGAACTTTTATCTATTCAGAAAATTTGTTGACATTTCAGGTGTATTGAATTAGATTGTTGGGATGGTAAGGGAGAAGACGAGGAACCAATCATAACACATGGCAAAGCTATGTGTACTGTCATTCTTTTCAAAGATGTTATATATGCTATACGAGATACGGCATTCGTAACAACAGATTATCCACTGATTCTTAGTTTGGAAAATCATTGTAGTAAAACTCAGCAGTGCAAATTAGCTAAATACTGTGATGAAATACTTGGTGATTTACTACTAAAGGAGCCTTTAAAGGAATATCCGGTAAAATTTAAAAATATAATCTCGAATCGTACAAATATTATTTTTTTCTGAATTAACCACTACGTTTCATTTATTAATATACTTACTCATAGTTGGAACCTGGTGTGTCACTACCTTCACCAAGTGCATTGAAAAGAAAAATCCTAATAAAAAACAAAAGGCTAAAACTAGAAGTAGAGAAGCAAGAATTGGAACTTTTTAAACAAGGTCAATTTGTCATAGAAGATGATATTAAAGAAGATGCGAGTGCTCCGCCAACAGTTACACCAATCGTCGAACCACAATCGGTAAAGGTATTCCTTAAGTCACTTCCTAGCATGGTGACCCTTTATCTCTCTTATTAGAAATGACATAAGATATTTTTTATACGGAACATTATTGTATGTAAGAAAATTACCCTGATTAAAATCTAGCACTCAAATAACTCAAACAATATTTGTTGTATTTCAGGATGATGTAGCGAACGATCCGGTCGCAGCTGTAGCGACTGGACAACTGAAGTTATCCCAACAAAGTGAAAGCTTGGAGCTTGCAGTGCCTGGACAGCCATACACGGGCAGTACGACCAACGTCCATCCTTGGTTGTCGTCAATGGTGAATTATGCACAGCCAATCAAATTTCAAGGTTTCGATGTGGCCGAGCGTAAGTTTGAGTTGATTTGATTATGATGAACGTGTTACATAATGATCAATATTGGTGAATACTTCAATTTATTTCACTTAATAAAAACGAAAAATGTTTATATTATAATTGATTTGATACAATTGTTATCTAGAACTGATGTATTAACTTTTGAATTGCTTAATATTTATAAATAATTGATTATAAGATATTTATTCTGTAAAAAATTTTCATATGTGTAATTTTGTATTACAGAAAACAATATACACTATTATATGTCTTCCTTTTCGGAGGCTACTGGACTGAATCACTTGAAAACTTCAGCCATAGAATTTGTTAATTATAATAAACGCCAAATGAGCCGAATATATCCAAAAGGTACAAGAGCTGACTCATCTAATTACATGCCACAGGTAAATCTATACTAAGTTTTGTGCAATGTCATGCCGGTTATCAGATTTATAAAAACTACTGTAATTATAGGTCTTTTGGAATGCTGGCTGCCAAATGGTATCATTAAATTTTCAAACTTCTGATTTACCAATGCAATTGAATCAAGGTAAATTTGAGTACAACGGTTCTTCTGGCTTTTTGCTAAAACCAGATTTCATGAGAAGGGCTGATCGAAGTTTCGATCCTTTCGCTGAAAGTCCCGTTGATGGTGTTATAGCGACTCAGTGTAGTGTTCAAGTGAGTAAATTCTCAATGAAATAACAATATTCATTGGATAGAATATCTCTAAATTACTTAACCCATTACTACCCTAGCAAAATTAAAGCCAGATAGAACCAAACTAATATTGGATCACTGTCAAAACGGAAAAAAAATTTACCCGTGGTTTTTTTCTCTGCGATTCTAATTCTTTATGCGAAAATATTTAAATAAATTAACGAAAATTTTACTATTTCAAAAAACTAAATATGCCAATCAATTCTACAAAAAAAACACATCGAAAACCTCTATACTATTATTCTGTTAGAGTTTATTTTGTTAGTGTATTATCATTATAATCAATGACATCCCGACGGGACATGGTGTACTTTGTTTTATCCCAAGCCGAACCTATGTTAGATAGCACCAAACGAATTACTGAACCACACCATATGAAAAAAAAGATAACCCGGGTTTTTCTTTTTGCAATTACAATTGTTTATGTAAAATTAGTTAAATAAATTATAAAAAAATTTGCAATTTTAAAAAACTGGTCATATCAGTTGATCCTACGCGGAAAAACAAGTAGAAAACCTTTTTAGAACTCTTGTATACAAGTAATTTGTTACCCAAACCCAACTCTAAATGATCGGTTAAAAAAATTATACTTAAATGTCTCGTGCAATTAGAATAAAATTTTGATTTCCAAATAAAGCTGAATATTTTATTTTCTAACGATAATACACTAACAAAATAGAATCTAACAGAAAAATGGTATAGGTTTTCCATATGTTTTTTCTTGTAGAATCGATTGGCATGATCAGTTTGTTGAAATCGTAAAATTTTTTTAAATTTATTTAAATAATTTCGTATAAACAATTACAATTGCTAAAAGAAAAAACACGGGTAAATTTTTTTCGTTTTAACAGTGATTCAATAGTTAATTTGCAGATATTTGGCCTAGATTTTGTTTTGGTAATAATTGGTGAATCAACTCATATTTTATTATCTTGAGATGACGAGCAAAAATTTAATTACAATTTCGAAATAAAGCGTTTCATTCAAATGTATAAATAGGTATAAAAAATTTGATATCTTGAGTCGACAATGACTTTCTTCAAGGCTAGAGAACGTAAGGTCATGAATGAAAAAAATTTAATTGACAACTTCTTTGAAATAGAATGGCAATATTAATTAACACTCTGTGAATCGATTTAATTAATGTAAAAGTCTTTTTTTATCTAAACAAAACGTTTTCAACAACTCGTAGAAATTAAATCTTTAATATTCAATGAAAAAAAATTTAAAGAATTCCTCGATACAATGAACGTTACTCAAGAGTTCCTTATCACATTTATACTTGTAACGTTAATCATGAAGAACAATTTACATTTTTAGGTGATAGCCGGTCAATTCTTATCGGACAAAAAAGTTAGCACGTACGTTGAAGTAGAAATGTACGGTCTGCCAACAGACACGATCCGTAAAGAGTTTCGAACAAGAACCGTTCCTGGCAATGGCTTAAATCCTGTCTATAACGAGGAGCCTTTTCTATTTCGCAAAGTTGTATTGCCAGATCTTGCCGCACTTCGGTTCGCCGTATACGATGAGTCGAATGGCAAACTGTTAGGTCAAAGAATCGTCCCACTGGATGGCTTACAGTCAGGTTATCGGCACATAAGCTTGAGAACTGAGGCTAACTTTCCGATGTCCTTGCCCATGTTATTCTGCAACATTGAAATTAAAATTTACGTACCTGATGGCTTTGAAGGTGAGATATTGATTTTTATTTTTTAAATAAATTATAAATTGTAGTCATAGGATGTTCTTTAATCTACTTTTTCTTAACGCTCAAATTTTACATTCGTGATCTCCATTGTATTCTTAAATACAATTTAATATTAAAGAAAAGAGAAAGTAACAAATTTATAAATTGCAGAACTGATGGATGCACTGTCAGCTCCAAGAGCGAAAAAAGTAACAGATGCGTCGCCAGCGACGAAAATGCGTGGACTTGGCATAGAAGAAAACGATCTTAAACCGAATTCAGAGCCTGCTCAATCTCGTTTCCCTGAGGCTGCAAAACCAAGAGGTTTTTATCTTTTATTCTAAATAAAAGCATTTAAAATTAATTTATAGCGTATGACTATTGTTGCGCAGAGGAACTAAATTTCGAACCTATTACCATTGAAACTCTTCGTCATGAAAAAGGGTACATCAAACTAATGCGAAAACAACAAAAGGAACTAGAGAGTTTGAAAAAAAGACATCAAAAGGAACGATTTACAGTACAAAAGCAACAGTGTGGCTCTATAGAAAAACTCATCAAGGGCAAAAAGTAAGCATTTTTATATTTTAGATAATGCAACATAATGTCTCTTATTAAAAAATCTTTCTTCTGACTTTTTTTCATTTATTTGATATATATTTCTGATATTTTTTAACCAGATTATATTATTCTAAAATTAATAAAAGTGTCAATTTTAATAAATGATCATAATGCTTATTTTTAAAATAAGCAATGTTTAACAATGAATAACTCTCGAACCATTAATCTATCAAGTCTTCGGCATTGTAGTCAAACAGAGCTATCTCGCGATCCAGTCATACGCCAAGCAGTTGCAGAGCAAACAGCTCAATGGTCACGTCTTGCCGAACGTCAGCGCCGAGAGGAGCGCGAACTTGTGCAAGCTCAGCTGGAAGAACGTAAAATCCAACTGAAGAAATTATGTACGGTGGCTCAAGTGACTCAAACAAAACAATTAAACACAAGGCATGAAAAGGAAATCAAGGAGATGAACTCAAGACAGGCGAGGCTTTCGGTTGAGAGTATGCGCGAGGTCATGAATGATAAAACATTAAAAACAAGGGGTATAAAAGAAGGTAGACTCAGAGAAAAGCAACAAAATAACACCAAAAAATTTATGGAGGAGAGAAGAGTTGCTCAGATGGTGCAAAACAGAGAAAAGGATAAGCTTAAAGTCATTCATGAGAAGCAATTGGAAGAAGTACAAAAAGAAATGAATGGAGTAAGTAAATAGAATTATTAGTAAGCGAATATATATTTTTACATTATTTTCTAAACTATCTTTTTCATATATATAATGTACTAATTTATAAATACGGCAGTACAATGGGCAAATATGCATTGATTGTGAGTAAAATAGCGACATTACTTCGCTCGGTCGGCAATATCACGTAGTTTATCCATTGTCCGCTGTTCTTCCTCGGAGAATAATGTACCATTTGTTCGAAACATAGATATTAATGAAATCATATATTTACAGATCATGGATATGTACAAAAATGAAGAAATGGAGTATGAGTTAGGACCAAAGAAAGAATTTTATGCGTAACACGATCATCGTGAAAAGAATAATAAAAATAAAAAAATTGCATGATCAATAAATGTCAGGTCATAGCAAATCAGGATCAAGTTCAATGAAGAAATACCTTTCAACATGTATGAAACTTTAGAGCAGCCAAAATGTCTAAAAACTTTTAACATTCGCTCTCCATACTATTTTTTATAAAATTTTCATCTATAATTTTCTAGTTGAGAGGGCAGAAATTGATGAAATGAGCGAATTGTTAATTAAAAAATTAAATAAGTGGAATGCGACAGCTCTAATCGAAGTCATATTAAAAATGATCTAGTCAAGCGTTATTTTCTCAAATGAAGTTATGAGTAATCTAGTACTTAGGAAATTGATATTGTGAATAATAATTATTAAACTGAATATATCAGATTGACACATCATTGATGCTTGCAGTGTATTTTGATTCTTATTGTCAAGAGAAGCTCTTTGAAAACTTTTATACCAGTCGATCAGTCTATAAGACTAACTAATCGAAGTTATTTTTCAATCTTCAAAATGCAAGATAAAATGTGGTAAACTGTGAACGAGCTTTTCTGTACAATAAGTTTCGATTTTTTCGGAATTTTGTTAAATTTCATTTGTCGATATAGACATGTTTGGTATAACAAAGGTGTTTATATCGACACGTTTGTTGTAACAGATTTTATGTGCTTGTGACATTGTGCCACATACATAAATGAAAATATGAAATACAATTCCTTAACACCCTCGCGTGATAGTTGTAATAGTTCTAGATTTTAATTAAACTTTAAGAGTTCTATAATTTATTAAATGATTTCTAGTGCATTGTTATAGTTAATTTTTAAAATAATATTTAGAGAAAAATGTTTTTAAGTTTAAATGTTTGAAAATTTTATATTATTATGTAATTTTTACTGTACCTATTCATCGCTAGATCTTTACTTCCATTGTACTTTAATTTCAAATGTCACTTTGTATTTTTAGAAAATAACTTGTCTTACTCGAAAGGAAAATCCTCTTAACTATAAGAACATAGTTCTGATTTTTGGAAAGAACGTTAATGGAACATTTTACAGTAGAATTTCTATAACAGAATAATCGTAACCTTCCGTATACACAATGCCAAATAAATATTTAGTTTAAATATAATTTTAATACATTGCGTACTATATATAAGACAAAGTTACATTTCATCTTTTATTAAAATCATACTACTCTCTTTAAAAAATTTTTCTAATAAGTTTAACATTTAATATTACTGACGCAAATGTCATTAATTACATTTTTATAATTTATATTGATGGTGATAAGAAATTATGTACCGTTCAATAAATATGTACGTAGCTGGCATATGAACATTTTCAGAATATTCTATTTCACTAATATAGCCTGATTGTTCTATATATAATGATATTCTTTAAATAAACACCGGTGAAAAATTTACTTGTTATAAAAAATTTGTAAAATGAACTCATTTTCATTCCATTTTTTATCATTTTATTTTGCACAGTTAGGAAAAATAAAAAATGTTCACTTTTTTATTAAAATATGTGTTTCTATGTGAATATATATTTATAATGTAGTATATATAATTTTAATATAAGGTTTAATAATTATTTAAATGGATATAAAATAATTTTTTGTAATTCACTTTAAATAGAATAATCAAATGTTGAAATTTATCAAAATCTGAATAAGTTACTCATAAATACAACAGTTTATTCTAAACTTATATACTGTATTGCTTTTATTTCAAGAACATTTGAAGTTTATAATATTACTTTAATGATAATAAAATTTTTTCTTATGTATTCAATTAATGGGTCCACTGATATGTACAATACATACATTCATCTAAAACTAAACTTCACAAACGGCATGTATTAAGTTTTTCATTAATTAATCAATCATAGAAAATACCAAACTGTTAGATTCATTTTATTCAATCTACGGGCTCGAAAACTGATCTATGACTGACAGATGAGTTAATCTGTCAGTGAAGAGCGGTAACTCCAGATTGACTTAAAATAAGATTAACGATAAAATAAAAAATATTTCATCTACACATATTGTGCATAATTCATTTTGTCATGTAGTATATTTGAACCCTATTTTATCTCTGTTGTACATAAGTCACTTTTGAAGTAAAATTATATACCTAAAATAATTTCTTCTACAATAATTTTTCATATTGTTTATCGAATTATTTAAATACGTTATTTATGTAAGGTAATGTAAAATGAAATAAGTTGCAATAAGAAATAAAAAATAAGAATGGAACAAAAGACTAATAGTTAAGTACCTATATCCTTTGAAAAAATAATACATATTGTTTATTTAATGTTTTTACATTTTAATACGCCTTACGTTTTCTTTCATTTTGCATACATAATGATTTTTTTGTGTACAACTGACATTGAAAATTGCGAAATTTTCTTTTTAATGATTGTAAGCAATGCTTATTAAAATTATTGTGATAAAAAGAAAAATTAGATATGTTATGAAATTCACTATATTGAATATCGTTATGAATACGCGCGGCTCGAAAAATATACGCTCTTTTTTACTAGTAGTAATGAATAGACAGAAACATTGAAAAGAAATATTTTTATATATCGTGAAAAAATTTATTAAATAAGAAATTTAATTTTTTTTTCTTACCGTAAATTAGACTAATATAATAATGCATATCTTCGGGATGATCAGTATCCAAAGACGGTTCTTGGTGATGATCTACAAATCATAACAACTGAAATTATATTATGCATGAAACTAATAATTTACTAACTGATTTGCATGAATTTTTTTTTATATATTGTCAATTACACATTTTGAATCATGCTATGTATCACTTTTATTTAAAAATTAGTCTATACTAAAATTAAACATTACCGTTTTCCACAGTAATTATTTGTTCCAAATGTTGATGTTCATCAATTTCAGGAATCTCATCATACACCGAAGACTCATGGTCGTCTTGTTCTGAAAATTGTGACGAGACATATTTAAAAATTATTTTATTTCTGTTGATGAGGATGAAAAATTTCTATATGAAGAATTATTAATAAAATTGATCTATTCATAAAAAGGGTACTTCTAATTATAAAGCCTTCAAAAAACTTAGTGATATCAATAAATATTTAAAAAGCTTACTATCATGATTAGTTTCAGCAATTACATCAATAATAAATGGTTGTTCTTGAGTGTGATAATGATAGTGATGTTCATGATCCTCTGCGGAAATTGGCACTGAACCGTAATTTTCTACCTGCACATTTTGATAGCTTGTGGCGCCATAGCCATGATGTATAGAGTAGAAATAAGGAAATTCAGGAGCGCCTAGAGGTATCCTGGCAGCTTGGCACAGACTTGCCAGCGTCGTCGCCGCAAGACAAAACTTTGAGAAACAGTAGTGCAATATTATTGGTGTGTAATACGCGTGCGTGTACGCAGCAACTTTCGCAACGCGTGAGAAAAAAGAATACAAGGAGTGACAGCTTGTGTGGAAGAAAGATAGCGGTCTCTCGTTAGCAGCTCACTCAGTGCCTTTAAGGGGTATTGCTCATTATTATTTTTTTATACCATGAGTGTCTGTAACTGAAACTCTTAATTAACCTGACGAAATAATAGCACGTATCTGATAACAGTTCTGTATTTACTTTAATCATCGGGTGGAGTGAATTTTTTTAATTACTGTATTTTTTGTACAGAAATTTTTATATTTTCAAATGTACAAAATATTTTTCTGTAGCTTATTGATTTTGATTGAATTTATTTGTTTTTTCCTACGTTCACATACATTTAAAGGCAAAGAAATGTAATTAGATATTATTTTTTGAAAAATGTATCGGTGTACACACCGATTTTATTACAAACTATTTATGAATCCTTTCTTTTATTTAAAATTATTATATAATTTTCAATTTATGCTCTATTTAATTTATTATTGAAATATAAGCGATCAATTTTATTATAGGTATAGGTTTCTACAGTCAATGATTTCAAATATTTTTATAAGACTATACTCGTACATATGATGACCGTAAAATAAAGAAATTAAATTTATTGAAATTCTGTTTTACAAAAATTTTAATATCCCTTTAATCTGTAATGAGTACTCACTAATAAATGCATAACATTCACTTATTCTGACAAGTATTATAAGTAAAACTGGCTAAACGGAACACACTTTGACTGAAACATCTGTTCATGAGATCAACAGTTATATAGTGTGGTTAACCCGACCCTACCAAGTACCACCTTTTGTCTTTCATCAGGTCCTGGGAAGAACGAAAAAATGAAAGAGATTTTTCAACAATCGGGCATGGTAACACTGGCACGCATATTTTATGTGCAACTTACAGATCGCCTCGATGTGGATGGGAAAAATTTGCTTCATCTAGAACTAGATATCTTTCATCTTGCGTAACGTTGTCTATTATGATGTGTGTGTGTGTGTGTGTGTGTGTGTGTGTGTGTGATCATATATAATTTTATATGATACATTGTTTTGATAGGTTCATTTCTTCCTTTCCAGATCAATCATACAATTGCTTTGCGTCCGACGAAACTAGATTTCCATTAAAATGGATGGAACGGATAGCCGATGCTCAGCGGATCAGCTATCTGCTAATTAGTTCCGCGAACGGAAACTCATTTGTTTGTGTTCGAAGCTCGTGTGTTATATACGCGTCCTACTGGACGTTCGCGGTTGAACACGTGATTATTATTGAAATCTATGAGCCATTAATATCTTCCCGGATGCTACAATGAATAGAAAAAAGAAATGAGTAGTCCCATGTTAAAGTTGTAAGAGCATTATTCACTAGACTCACAATCTATATTTTAATCAAATCTAGGCATTATTTTTCTTGAAAAGTTGTTATTTATATATTTAAATTGTTAAAAGATAATATGTATACTGTGTTATTTATCTGTTGTGAATCATTAAAAAAATAACCAAAACGGATATATTTTCTAAATAACATTCGAAAACAGCATTAAAATTCATGAAATAAATAAAATCGAGTTATTTTATACAGTTTATAACATAATTTATCATAAATTTTTAACGTTACATTACACAACTACTTGATCTATTACACAGGTATATAAACATCACTATTTTTTATAATATTTCAACTATATAATATTTTCAATAGGTAATTGTAACATGACTTTGAAAATCAATGTAATAAAAAAATATAACATATAAATAGCATGGCTTATATTTTCATTTTTGCATTACGCGGGTGTAATAGTTACGTAAAACAATCAAGTGACTATTTTTATAATATTTAAAATATACCTTCTCGAATAGCGACTTTAAAAATTCAAACAATTTCCGTACTAAATTTGCATATGTGATAACATAATGCACATTAATTTTTGAATGGTAACTCACTATAAACGGCATAAATAATTATTCATATGGACCGAGTATAGCACCATACTTCTGTTATAAAATATGCAACTTATGAAATATATTTTTAAGATTGACAATTAAAATAGTTCATCTCAACGTATTCATTGGTGGTATAAATATATGCAAGGCGAAACATTATTGGAATATTACATTACTGGTTAAATTGGTTTTTAGTTCTTAAAAACCTAATAACACGTCATTTAACCTTTATAAATAAGATGATATTGAGTTATTGAATTATTCATTTAGAAACTCTATACAATAATATTTATTGACGAGAAACCGGATGCACAATAGATATGGAACAAAATTTATTTTATACTAGTATTAGTATGGATGCATCCGTGTGTATGTGTGTGCATGCTCGTGCGCGTGTATGTGATGCAGCACAATAACTATAAATAATTAGAAGAATTAGTTACATAGCTAATACTGACTGAAAATATCCAAAATTAAAATTGCATTTAATAAAAACGTTTTGAAAACTGTCTTAGTTTTTTGTAATTAAATAATGTAATTGAAATATATTCGGTATAATTTTAACTTTGGCTTTATTGTAACTTATTTATTTGCAATAAAAACATAAAATAGTAATTACAATTTAAAAAAATCATTTTTACATAGGTACAATTTTAATAAACAACGAACTAATGCCGTCGTGATAAATGATATTGTCTTATGTACTTCTGTGACCATGAACATTTCCACTAGTCACAGGGCTCTACATGTGGAAGATGGTGAACAGGGTGATGGAAAGATGCAGCATGATGATAAAGAGGTTTTGGATGATGGTATAGGGGCTTGACCACCTTCATAATTTGTGGCTGATGATGGTATTGATGATGGACAGGTTGTGGATGGTGAAAGTGTGGCTTGGCTACGTGAACAATCTGTGGTTGATGATGATATTGATGCTGTGGTGCATATACTACGCCAGTGTGGGAATGGCCATGTTGCCATGGTGGACAGTCTGGTTGGTGAACAACTGGTTTAACCCAGTCGTTATGAATGGGAACATGATACGAAGGTTTGTGATAATTAGGTGCATAAGAATATGAAGGTTTGTTCCAACCAGATTGCCAACCAGGTGACTGCCAACCTGGTGACTGCCAACCTGGTGACTGCCAACCTGGTGACTGCCAACCAGACGATTTCCAACCAGAAAGCCAACCTGGTGATTGCCAACCATGAGATGGTTTTGGCCATTCGTAATTTTGTTGCCAAGGATTATTCCATACCTTGAAATATTAAAAATTTTGTTAGAGGCGCCTTTCTTATTTTTCTTCAATAATACAATCACTAATATGAATTAAAGCGGTAAAAGACTTCATGAAAAAATTGAATTTAGAAGATTTTTATCTTAAAGAATTAAGAATAGTTGTGAAAATTTGTGGGGTAGAATATTCTATTGCTCGTTAAAAATCCTCTTTATCAATTATTACTAAAAGAAAGTAATTTTCAGTTTTTATATATTTTAATAATTTTTAGTTGATGACGTATTAATTTTGCTAAATTATTGTGAATTTGACTATTATTTGCCATTGGATGTGAAAAAACTCAAGTAGTTTAATTTGTCAAATAAAAAAAGTAACACATTACAAACAAAAATAAAGAATTTAACAAGAAATGGAAAAAAATCGAACATGTTTGCACAACATCGCTGTTAGCGTTAACTTATTAACATCATAAGTATACACACCGAATTAGATTTTATAACTGAAACTGCAGGCTTAGGTACGTAATGAGGCTGTATAAAATTGACTTTATGATGAACAGGCATTTGCCATCCGTGTTGATAATGTGGCCAATGCGGCGGACAAGGAGTTGGATGAGCAGGCCAAGAATATCTTTTTGATTTAACTGATGCAGATGTGTCGTCAATTTTTTCCGCTACTTCATCCTTGGAGATTTCTACCTTCATCTCTGGGTCTGAATAGACGCTCGAGAGACAAAGAAGAAATATTATCTAAAATACAAAAATTATCATCATGAAACAAAAGATTATTCAAATCATTTTTTTTCTTATTATTCTATAACTAAATTTAACCACATTTTATTATATACCTATTGTAAATATATTAAGTATCTATTATTTTTTAATTCATGTATTAAATTATAAGCATCATAAAAATAGAAATTACGATTTATAACTTTTTGTAGAACAGACTGTATTTGCTCAACTATTTAAGAGGATTTGAAAATAAACGTAATTAAGAGGGTCCTTGAAAAAGTTTAAGCTTTAAGTAGTTTCTACATAACGTATAGATTAAATATTTATAGACAATACGTTTTGTAATACTTTTAAAGAACTAGATATAATGAGTTTATAATATGAATTATTCACAATCTTTTATTGATTTTGAAAAATAAAACAATGAAATATTCCAATCAAATTTTTTTCACAAGCTGCAAGTTAGCATGAAATGTCACAAGTCTCGTTTACTGAATAGAGCCTACTTGAATAATTTCAAAGTCAAAGCAAACGTTAAATGCCACTTACGAGCGACTTAGCCATGTTTAAAAATTCTCTTTTGTAGCCCAGGATGAAAGCTCGCAAATGATATATTGCTAGTTAAAGAAGCGCAATAAAAACAGAATGAGAAAGAGAGGGGGAGGGGTAAGAGAGAGAGAGAGAGAGAGAGAAAGAGAGAGAGATTAACGCCGCTTGGCGACCACGTCGGCAGCTTGGGCGAAAACTAGAGACCCGCTCAATGCACTGCTCGGTTTTATAAACTTTTGCCCCAGTTGCAGGCCTTGCAAGCAAGTTTTCCTTAAGTAAACTAAATGCGCAGAGCCGATGAAAAGAGAGTGACGGAGAATGAAAAATGTAGCGAACGTCCGTTTGAGATTCCCTTAAGCGGTGCAAAAAGCAGCAGTCGCTGGCATTGCGCGCTCGACGCTGGCGCAATCTGCACGTTTCGCCCAGATATTTCCTGAATGAATGCCTGACCACAAGCAAGACGGGGCGTCAAATAGCTCGACTGAAAATCATACCTATCAGTACAAATTTTTAAAAATGTTTTGATGTTTCAATAGTAAAGCCAACCTATTCGTTTTAACAATTCATTGTCAAAATCCCCTTGCAGTTGTTACATCTTCTATATCTTAAACAAATGTTTGCTATCATACTGGTGCTTACGTATATTACTGGTAAAAGTGAAATACATTTCTTTAAAAAAATATAATCTGCATCTTACTCAATGTAATATGAATATGTAAGTATATAAAATTATACAATATTATAGTATTACAATTTTAGCCCGATATATTAATTCTTCAATTATGCGATATCGAGCATAAGCAGAATGAATAAATCTGACTTTGGTACGTTTAGAATTCCAAATTTTTTTAAGTAGATATAGTTGGTATAAAATTTAAATCTACCATAAGGTAGTATTTAATTTAGAATTAGAGGGTTTTAGATTATTTTTTTAATGACCGTTCAATCAATACAAACATTTAATCGATATAATTATCACCGATTTTGTAGTTGATATAAATATTGATTTTTGAATAGATAGTTTTCATACTTTTCATGACCTTTATGGAAAAATATGTAAAAATAGTTGTTGGAAAATGTAGTTTGAAAAGGTAAACATACTTTTTGAATGACAATCAATTAAAAATACTTGTAATTTAGTAAAATTTTATTGTTTTGAAATTAATTTATAACCACGACTTAATCGTTTTATAATACGTTCACAGTGAAACTATAGTGACGAGACTGATATGAATTCAAAAAATTGCGATATTAAGGAAGAATAAGCCAGTGTTATCATTAGAGCACAGTTATATCGAAAATTGTTCAAACGTCTAAAATAGCATTGGCGCAAGCTGAAACTGTAACGCTGCAACGCTGAAGCTCCAATGTTGCAAGCCTAACGCTAAAGTTCCGATGTTGGAGTTGCAGTGCTATTTTAGACGTTTGAACAATTTCCGGTATATGCATGCTCCAACACTAAGGCTGGCTTACTCCTCCTTTTCATCGCAGTCGTTTAAGCTCATGTCAATCTTTATCATTAGAGTATCTAATGATAAAGAATATCATTAGATCAAGCGTATCACCGTGATCACACTAATACGCTTGTTTTTTATACAAATCCGACAATATTTTTATTTAATAATACGAGTATATGCAATTTAATATGACTATGTTCTTGAATATGCTTTTATTTTTATGATTTTTTAGTCAAATAAAGAATTTATTACAAAAAAGTATACTTTTTCAATATATTTTTAACGATAATTCAAAGTTGTCCCAAATATGCACTTGTTTCACACGATACATTTATAAAAATGAAATTAGATATCAGAAGCAAATATGTAGATTGCACATTCTCAAATTTATAATCAATTTTTTAGTATGTAAAATAACAAGTCATAAAAAAAAAATATTCTATGTTATAAGTAACAAAAGTTTAATAAATATTGGACATTTTTATATGTAAAATAACAAAATATATTACAGCCATTTTGTACGGTTATTTTCAGGAGTACGAATTAATATTAAACACTATAAAATTACATTTATTACAAGTAAACTAGATCCTATTTCTATTTATTCTGTGTAATAAAAGGTTATCGATCCCAATCTTTACTTTCATGATGAAATACGTGTTTATAAACAGGTACGTGCACTGGATAAGGTTTAGGAATTGGCACTGGATAGTGTTTTTCCACTGTCACAGCATATGGTTTTTCAATGACATATGGTACCTACAAGAAACAAAATTTAATAATCAATATTAAGGTTTAAACAATATTTTAGAAGGAGATTCTCAGACGTTCAGGCGAAAAATTTTAGTGAAAACAAAAAAATGTTTAAATAATATCTGTATTTTAGGGCTTCATCTTATATACCTATATTCAAAAAATAAAGTGAAAATAATATTGAAGTCTTCAAAAGATTGCCGTTTAAAAATTTATGAATAATATATTCAGTAAAATGGTTTTATTAATAAATTAATTTACTGTTTAGTCAAATGTTAATTTTGTCAAACTCTTGAAGGGTTCTAACAAATTTTTTAAATGGTGGATTTGATCTCAGCTTTCTATCTTTAATCTTTAAATTGCAATAGAGCTATTCATTGAAGAGCATTTAAGCTTATGGAGTAACTTAATTTGTCAATATATATAATACAAGCCCCATAAATCTCAATAAAATCACTATAATATGAAACCCTGAAACTTAAGTATTTTTATTTTATAACAGAGTTCACATCATCTTTTAAGTTGAAAGATGTGAAGTATTTTCGTAAAAATAAGTGTATCGAAAGTAAAATTTATTTGAATTAATTTTACTTGTAAAAGTGGATTGCATAATTTAAGTACTGATATGAAAAGTACCTTTTTTTCGATTATATATGGTTCAGGTTTTTCTACGGGAATTTCGACGTGTTTCACAACTTCGACTGGAACTGGGTGCGGAACTGGTACCTGGACTTGATATGGCTGAGGAATTGGTACCTTAATCTGTTGAGTCACCGATACTGGGATAGGATGTGGTATAGGAATAGCATACTTTTTGTATATTGGAATCTCTACAGGTCGGTGAGTTTCATGGTATGTTGACCTTCCATGACCTTCCTCGTAAATTGCTAGTGCAGCCCCTAAGACTGCTGCTATAATCTGTACAAATATAATCGTTTGAGTTAAAACTCTATTATACAATTCCAAAACATTCAAGAAATTATAAAAGATATCAAATAGCTACAATTCTTGACACATTCAAATTTGTAAAGAAATTGTTATAAATTAATTGTGCCTTTGTAAGCGAAAAATGTTTTTGAAAATAGAAAAATAAAAATTTGAAAATAATTATTTACATTGAACAATGATAACGTTATATTACAAAAGAATGAACAATAATTCGTTTACCATACTAATATGATATAAGTGTCACGTGGTATTGAAACAAATGAAATTATTTATATTTCATGCTCAAAGGTATCAATAATACAACTCACGAGAATTTTCATCGTTGTGGATTAAGCGATAACTGTTGGATCGCTGAATTAATCCGCTTGAACCGCATTCAAATGTACGCTAGTAGCACCGTCGCAAAGTTCTCTACAGCTATGACGCTCTCAAAGTCACGGTCAAGTGCTTTATATAGCCGATGCTGAACTTTCTCCCTTCTTCTATCTCTTATAAAAGAACTGCAGACGATTGCGACGCTCTCATGCTTGTTGTTTGCCTCGGCTGAGGCTAACGTACGCCGACGTAATGAAACCAATATTGCGGCGCAAGCTTCTATTACGCCGAAGCACTGAATTCGCGTTGCTGTTAAGATAAACGTTTTCTTCAAATGAGTAGGACTCTGCGAGTTCCGCTACAAACCAACCACACGGAAGAGTTTCTCTTCTGCTATTTCAATGATTCGCATAGCGTCAAAATTTCCACTAATCATTATATTTACACTTATGTTTTTGAAGTCGTGGCACTTTCATTGCGGTACTTATCTCGAATATAACACACATGAATTATCACGCGTCCATAGGCTTTTGCTCTGAGTAATAAATATGTACTTCGTGAGTAAGGTTGTCAACCCAATACAAGTGCGCTGTGTGTATTCTTAATTGTCTCATTAGACATAGTACGTTTTACTGAAATTGAAAACATTCTTTTATTCGTATTGATCATCATTTTCTTGAGTCGATATGAACAATAAAATTTCTATTGTTCTATATGTATTTTAAACATTTTAGATTTCAATCCAGATCTTTTTGTAGATATGAAATTTCCTAAGTGAATTGAAATACTTCTGCTGGATTAGAACAACATGGCAAAAGTTTTTCCTGGAAACTGAAGTCGTTAGAGTCAAATTATAAAGCAACTAGCAAATACCAACGAGTCTCCGAATCGGCTGCAGGTGCGCAGCCTAGAATTCACGAAACATCTAATCGTTATCCCTAAACTGGAGCCGTGAGCGTCAATGTTCAATGCCGCAGTGTTCGTGATGAAATCTATCCGCGACACTGCGCTTCACCGTAAAGAGTCTTCGGTGCAGCGTTATAGCATCCTTGCGTCACCGCAAGCTGCCCCTTAGCCATTGGGCTTGGCCGAACCTTGAGATTTGAATTGCCATAACAGTCGTCAAAATAGCCAAACGGTGAAAGTGTAGAGTTGCTGCCACGGTGCGCGAGTTCGCGGGTAAAAGTTGTTGGCTTGCTATTATGGCTGATTATGGCGAATCGAGATCACGAGCGAATGGGCGTTTCATGTATGTTGCGAGAAAACTCGGACAGAGAGTCGGTTACATTTATACACTGAGAAACAATAGTTCGCTTATAAGGAGATAAAAATTGAGATTTATTGAACTGGTGACAACATCATTCTGGAGAAAGTGAGAAGAGAATTGTAGTTTTGCGGTTTTCAAAAAATACTGGCATTGCTATATTTTTGAACGGGACTAGAACCTCTACAATTTGGAATTTAATACGGAAATTGCGAATCCTTTCGAATAATTATATTTCGTTATTTCCACGTTTGTAGCAATAACAAAATAATTGAAATTAACAGATATGCAGAGTGTTAAACGAGTGTGCGATTTAATAAATATAAAAATAATTGCACTTGTAATTGTGACGTAATGCGTATAGATGACATCCTGTATCTATGTTAATTTTAGTTAAATCAGACGGCGAGAAAATCACGTGTTAAGTAGTTTATTATTCTCTACAAAGTATATATCTGTGGTGTCCCTAAAAAACTAGCTAAGTTGTTTTCTTTTAGTGATTTCAAGTTATTCAAGTAAATATTTAAATAAATAACGGAATTCAGCAAACTTCTTCTGATAATCGATGTTGAGCTAAAATGATCAAAGTATGAGACCAATATAAATAGTACATCTAAAATAAAAATCTTTTTTTTTAATTTTACTAGTATAACAGAGTTTTTTTGGCATAGTTGATCGAAATATATAATAAAAACATATAGTATGATCATAATTAGCACTAAGTAATAATATTATATCAATAAATACTTTATAATGGACACATTTAGAATTTGAATTAAGCAAAATTTTTGTGAAAAACAACTAGACCGATTATATATCGTGAACATTAAGAGATTTAATTTAATTCTGATTTTTGGCACATGATATTTTCAAAAACTTTATTCAAATAGTAAGAATACTCAAGTTTCATAAAATTTGTACATAACTGGTTCTGCTGCGATGCTATTAATATAATATAATGGAGTTTTTGGTGCAAATTTGCTATTTTCTCAAGCGCTATTTTTAATTAATATTAAATCAATTATTATAAAATCGCAATATTATCTATGCAAAATCATTTAAAAATATTTGTAAGTCTTATCCTATTAATAAATAAAAAATCGAAATATACGTAAAATAGTACAAACTATATATACTTGTGGTCTTGGCCATACTATCAGAAATTGATTTTTACTGATAATACTTATTTCGAATAATAAAGTTATATAAAATCTCTAACCTTAAATCTCTTTACTTAGAAACTACACAGGAATTTAATTTAAGCACATTCTATAGAAATTTAATACTTATAGTAATACAATATAACAAACACATATAACAATACGTAAAAAACACATAAGATACCCAATATTGCTATAATAACACTAATAATCTTTTTTAATGAAAGTTTAAAAACAAAGAATATTGCTTATTCAAAAAATGAACAATGAAAACTATATACTCTTACGTTGAAATATATTTAATTTTTCAGGGAATAATAATGAAATCAGTCCATTAAACGTTAGAAACAGATTTTTATTTTTTATATATTTGAATATATTTAATTTAGTTATATTAAAAAATAAAAAAATTTTCATTCATCTGATAGAATCGAGCAATGATATGGAATAACAATTATGTCCAAGGTGGTTTGTAAAAAATGAATTACTTATTTCACTACACTAACGAGTTACTTAATGAGTTTGAATAAAATGAAATGCTTTCAGTCGTACTACATTATTATACAAGGAAAAATCACACATAGCATAAAGATAATAGAAAATAAAACCTTTTTATCATTGTATATCGACTATGAATTGAGGTTCACGTATTTATTGTATACGTGTGATATAGGTAATAGTTACGTACTGCATTAATAATAAACTTATGTTCTATCAACTAATAATATTATATACATAAAATGAAAGTTTCTGCCTTATAATAAAAATATTACCGGTAGGAATATATATATATATATATATATATATATATATATATATATAAATAGATTTAAATGTCTATTCCATTGACTATGAACTGTTTCTATATCAAAGTCATCGAGGAATTAAAAATACACGAATGTGCATGTCAGTGCCAGCCTTTCCCTTTCGACGAGTGTACAATGACGTGCTTATAGATAGGAACGTGAACTGGGTACGGCTTGGCTACCGGTACTGGAAACTTTTTCTCCACATAAACTGGATAAGGTTTTTCCACGACGAACGGCACCTGAAAACAAGAATAATCACCCCCACATTAGCAAACTTATACAATATACCGATCGCTTCCTGCAAAAGCCGGCCTTTCTTATGTCGTCGCCTTTCCCATCCATCCGAGTTTTGCCCAGATTGGCCTATTTAACTGTATTTTCAAAGCCTGCGCGCCTCTGTCCGAACTACCACCGACGCCGAAGTGGTTGCCTGTAGTTTAGGCGAACTTTTTCTCGGCGTCTGTTTTGTATCCTGAACTTTTTCAATTCCCGTGATAGTCGCTACATTGTTTACGCTCTAGAGGTAAATGACCAAACTCAGCGTTTCAATTATAACATTTTTGTTGTTTTACGATCCCCTATATATCTTTGTTATTTCAGCGAATTTATTCATTTGTTCATGCTGAGAAAGTGTACAAGTATATATGCTCAGTTGGTGTTATTTTCACACACTTCGAACCAGTAGTTTCAAATTTGTATTCTAACTACAATCATATATAACATGAATTATCAAATAGGAATTTTCAAGATCTTTGATAGTTTCAATGAAATCTGTTATAAATTATTCTGTGATAAAAAACGCGTTTTTGTCATGATTTTAAAAGTATTGTTAGTAAAAGAATACAAATCATCTGTAGACAGTTATTGGTGTAATACTATTGAAAAATTGTATATAGGGAATGTGAATAGATTAGAGTTATTCACCTATCTTGAGTAAATCTTATTTACGCACTTGAAAGCAACCACCAATATTAATTAGTCCGTACTCAACTACTCAAACTAAACCAATTCTAGAATACACGTACTGCATTATATGAATGTAGATTGTTTAAAAGACATTTATAATGTTTATAATGTCAACTTGCATATGACAAAAAGTCATTATCTACGATGATACAAAAAGGCCTTTTGAGAGTAAGTGGATTGTGATCTTGAGAGATCCTCTTTTTTATCAATAAGATATCCTTTTGTGACGAAAGGATTTATTTCTTAAAATGATAATTCCTCGAATCTGAGAGTAATCTTTAGTAATGAGAGGAATTCACTTGCTACCTATTTTAAGAGTTATTTTTTTTCAAGGTAAGAGTTATCCTCTTATTACAAAAAGATGTAATTTTCGATGTTTTAAGATTCATATCAGGGTATTCAGAATGATAATTATTAATTATCGCACTCACCTGTTTTTCTACGACATAAGGTTCTAGCTTTTCAATTGGAATTTCAATGTGTTTGATAACTTCGACCGGTTGAGGATGTGGAATTTTCAGCGGTACTTGATATGGTTGCGGAATTGGTATTTTTATTTCTTGAGGCACTTTAACAGGTACGGGATGAGGTATTGGAATCGCTAAGATAAACAAATTATGTAAAAATAATTATTATGTTGATATTTAGTTGAAAGTTTCAATCTTAAATAGTATTATACATTGTGTATTATTGTCTTACCGAATTTTTTATATATGGGTATTTCAACCTTATGTGTTTTTTCTTCGTAAGTATGATGCCCGTGGTCTCCGTAGTCACTGGCAGATACTATAGAGATACATAACCCTGTACTCAGTATCAATATCTAAACACAAAAATTCTATTAAAAAATTTAATTAGAAGAAATTATATCATTTGTATAATCTTTGAAGATGGTGTTGAAGTTGTTGATAAAAAATGTTATTCTTCAATAAAATATGAGATAATTAAGAATTTCCGATTATCATTTTGCCATTTGGCTTTGAATTCATTTAACAAATAATAGTCTTTTATTTGTCCAATTCATATCCATTTTGCACCTAGTAAAATAATAATGGAATTGCATTGTAACGAGAAATATTTAATTAATCAGTAAATTGATATGCAGCTAAACTTTTCACTGTTTCTTACAATTTTAAGCATGTTGCAAAGTTTTTTCTTGTTTCACGATACAGAAGAACCCACAAAAGTTTGAATGTCGTCAGTCATGCTACGTTCTAAGCTTATATACTTTCGTTGTATCCGCCACCTTTCTCTCGTATCTGCTCTTGTAATCTTGCTCCCTTCTCCAATTATTTCTTCAATTGTCCATCGCGGAAGGTAGAGCAGATACGGAAACTACTCTCAAGTTGTTGTAACTGCAGACTACTTTTCCATAGTCATTAAGAACTACTAATAATCTAAATAATTATTCATCGACCATTCCACTGTAAATATGGATTTTTAGACCCTTCAATATAATTAAAGTATTTCTAAAGTTTTATTCAATTATTTGTATATTTATACGAATTTCATGCATAAAAAAGAAACTTGTTTACTTTATAAAACTTTACTCCGCATGCTTAACAAATTAGTTGCTGAATCGTATATAATAAAAAATAATAATAAATATTAAAGAGAATATTAATCGGTAGAATTGATCACCAGAGTTAATTTTTCTACATACCTTACAATACTTTCCAAAAAATACTACATTATATATGAATATTAATGGCAGAAATTCAAACAATTTTCTTACTAGACAAAAAATTGCCTTATTCAAGAAGTAGATTCAAATTTTTTTATTTCGCCTCAGAAAAATATAAAATTGGAATTTGTAGAACTTCTGTCCATGTTGTTAAGCGTTTAACATTTAGTGAAAGTCTTTTATTGAGCTTTGTTGTAACGTGTTCTGAGTAAGTAAAAATTCCCATACTTTTCTAACATTGTTAGAAACTAGTTTCTACCAAAGAGCAGTTATAATCTCTCATCTTGTCATATCCGTTAAAAAGAATTACTAATTTCTTTAGTTATGACATTTTTTTCTAGCTATCTCTAAAATTGATTCACTGATGATATAAGATTTTATCATCACGTGTGCAAATATTCTTAAAGGCAATATTAAAAACATTTAATAATTTAGAAATAACTTTGGTTATAAGAAAGCTAATAATCGAGAAAAATTCCAATTGGTATATTGTTTCAATCATAATTGAGCATCGGAAGTTCTATCGGTTGAATAATAGTCAAGGTAGTATTTAAATATGTTGAAGGAATACGATATGCTCAGTGTAAAAGTGTTTAAAGCAATCATTCCTTTATCTTTTTCTCTCTAGGAGTCTTTCATCGCTTCTATTACTACCGTGCTCTTATCAAATTTATAGGTTTTTGCAATTTATTTGTTTCTTGTACGCCAACATTAATTGTGATTAGTTATATTTATTGATAGCTAAATATCATTAATATAACGACCTCCACTAAACATTAAGTCTAACGGTTGGATTATAACCTCACCAATAACTTTCGTATTAATAAAGGATTGTTATTCCGCATTGAGCTTTTGACAATTTTATTTTTAGATAGAGCTTATTATTTTTATAAAAAAATTATCAAAAAATTATCTAATATGTATTATCTGCACTCTGAAAGCAAAAGTATATTTTCAACTAAAAAATTGAACTTATAAAATTTAATTCATTGATTAGATTATTTATATACCAAAATATTTGGTATATGTAAAAATTAATGCATAATTAATAATAAATAAATAATTAATTATCATAAATAATAAATTAATTATCAAGAATTATAAGTTAGTAGAATTTATTTATTTGCACTAATTTGAATTAAATATGTTGGATTAAGTAACACATTATTCTAAGTTATGACTTTATTTACATAAATGAATAATTGCTGTAATAAAAAAGTTCTTTTTCCGGTATGTAGCACAAGTGTTAGTTTAGATATTTTAGGCTATTATAAGATATAGCATGAGTGTAATAACATTTTTTTTCTGTTTTTATTGCACCAAGCTTATTTACGATCTGTCTTATACTTTATAACAATAAGTAAATGTTATTATTATAAGAGATATGTACATGAGATTCGGAAGAATACTCCAGTTAATATTCTGTCTGTTTTAGAATGTGAAAAATAGATTAGGGGTTATTTATGCATTCATTAGTTGATGTTTTTTAAGTCTGGTGTTTTTGATAGATGTCTTGAAAAGTTTGCTGATAAGTTTATTTAGGTGATTTTGTAATCTGTTGGTTTTCTTGTTTTTTTTATTACAATTACTATCATGATAAAAGATGTAATTATATCTGAATCATTCAGTGTTACGTTTTGTCTTTAGCGATATTGTCAATATTTTGACTTCATTAGGTATTCAAAATATTTATCTTTTATTCAAGATTATTATAATTTTGTTTTAATATACAAAATAATCTAATTAAATATTAAAATTTAATAAATCTATGCGTTTATTAAATTTTCTGAAATATTATGTAATACATAGATAATTTAACAATAATTATATTTTAGTTATCTTATCGAATTATAATAATTTTTTATGACAAATAAAAGAAATGGAGGCTTATTGCATAATATCGTCTTCATATAATAGGCTTCATCGTTTCAGTAAACTCTATGATGTATAGTTTTATATACTGGTATTTTAATAGGAACTTTTTTTTCAACGAATAATGGAACGTGTTTTACAACTTCAAATGGTACTGGCTTCTCAACAGGTACCGGGACAATTTTTTCAACTGGCGTTGGAACTTTTTTCTCAACAGTTTTTACAATTGTTTTAATAACCTAAAATTCAATATTTTTTAAATCTCAAAATATATTCATATATTTGACAAAAGAAACATTTTATATTACTACTTAAAATCTATTATAAAATATTTAAATAAATTACCTCATACGGTACCGGATGCAACATTGGAACTAACAATGGATAAGGTTGCGTTATTTGATCTATTTTTGGGTATGGAATTTCTATCTTATAATCTTTATATACTGGATGTCCTATAGATTTAAAAGTTATTACATTAGTTAGCAGTAATTTTTTATAAACAAGAATTTTCAAACATGCCTATTTCTGTTATAACTGGTTTCACTAATCCCTTAAAATCTTTGCCAATAAGAACATCAGTCAACCACGAATCAAGTCCATGCAATGAATGCTTTTCATCTGATGAGTCGTTAATATGATTGACACCACGTGGATCTGTGAGCAAAATAACATATTTTTCATTATTTACTGAACGCTTAAGAAAGCTCTATAGATTGCAAATATGTTTAAAACATAGAAAAATGTTTCCTTTTTTTTGTAAAAAGCAATGTTATTATAATGTTATTTTATTCAAGATCATAAATAAAAAATATATAATATCTTCAACAAGTATTTAGACGGTAAACGGTCTCAATAATTTTTACAATTAATTACTGCTTGAAATAACTATTATAAAAACGAATTTGGAGCTTTCATTGACAATGCTATAAATATCTTTTTCGCAAATGAATGTCAAGATCACACCTTTGTTACTAATTTTTGGCTATCATGCTCAAAAATACATTTCATGATCCATGCAGAATTGCTTTATTTTCATAAAGCTTTGCAATACTAACAAAAAGAAATCCATCCTACGCTCATTATGAAATACAATTTAATGATTTAAAATAAAAAAAGCAATATAAATTTCAACGTTTTATTGTTGTAATAGAAAAGATATTTTTATTGTAGTTATTAATGATTTGCATCTGAAACAAATATTTAAAATGAAAAGATTTTTCTATAAAAAAATATTTTCTTACCATAGTAATCCCAACTAGTCGCAGAGTTTTTCGAATCAGCATCGTACGTAACATCAGCCAATTGTAAACCATTATCATGATTAGCCAACTCTTCGTCTAACCTTCTCTCACCAAAAAAGTACTCTCTACCAATTATTGAACTACCATTCAATCCTTTCGTTTGACAAATTTGACCTATACTAATGATTAACAGCTAGAAAATTGAAGGTGAAGATTTTATTGAAAAACGTAGTTTTAGGTTCTAAGAAATGCTTGTCTATCGATAATTGATATCTCAGAAAGAAATGAAAAAAAATTAATTAAAAGATATAATTAATATAGTACTTTCTAAAGAAATGTGTTATTTTACTTGCCGTGAGAATCATTTTAAAGTGTACTCATGCGAATGAGACGCCGAAATAACTGGCGCTGTTCTGAATATATCTGTTTATATATCTGATTGCAAATGGGGCAGACACCCCACTCTAGAGGTTCTAATAGTGCAGTGAACTTGTATTTTTAATTTCTTATCCACTTGTGATGGAAGTTACACATGGTTTTGTACATTAGGCACGTTGCAATCTTATTTCCATGAAGGCAGATTACTTAGAACTGAAAAAGCGGACGAAAAAGGCCAATTTGAGAAATAGCTCTATTAAACTTTCTCGTAATCATTGAAAGTCTTTTGCACCGTCAATAGCTTCAGTATATTATTAATTTTACCTGTTAATGTGTATGTTTCAATTATGGAATTACGTATAAGAATTTTCCAAATTCAACGTGATTTAATTACAATGAAAGTATAATTAAGTCTTATAATTAATTAATTCACACAGCAAATTGAAAATTGTGAAAAGAATATTCATAAAAGGTGAAAAATTTGGATGATAAAATTAATAAAATTTCACTTCTGTTATATTTTTCAAAGTTTTTTATTACACAGTATATACGGCAGTTTTATGGTCGATTAGCATGTTTCTCCAGTACGTTACTAGCTCTTACGCTCTCGATTATACCACAAAAGATCAACACTCTTAACCGATATATATCTCACCTAATGACCTAATTACAGTTTTATCTTATTCGACTAAAAACGTCACTTTCTACGGAGATTTTTCAATGTACTATTATTGAAAAATATAGTGAAAGTTGTACATATACAGAATTACGTTAGTATGCTCAGATAGAACCATGAAATCAATATTTTAGTTTAGTTACATGTTTACATCATTTACAATTAAAGAATAGATCATTACTGGGAAAATCAATAGTCCCTTTCTTATACTTTATGATTCTCCTATTTTAATTCCAAAAAGTGTTAAAACATGTTATAATTAAATGTATAACGATATTGATGCTATCAAAAATAAAAAAATGTGAATTACTTGAAGTTTTTATTAATATATTTATTTTTGAAGTATATTTTTATATATCTATTTCTACACAATACTTAGTTTGATTGACCTGAAGAGCTTATAATTAAAACTATTTTTGTATTAAACATACAGACTACTAGTGATTTGTATAAAAACTTATATCAGGTTTATAAATTATTCACTAGTAATTTTCACAATAAAAATATTTTACATATCTAGTTCAAACGCCTATATTAAAAGTTTGATTACGTGAAAAAAATTTTCAAAAGTAAAAATCAAAAGAAGATTTGCACATAGGATAATGCAAGAATAATATATTGGTCGTTGATTATAAAAGCTGCAGGCACTGAGTGTTAAGAAAGTTGTACCATATAAATGTTGTACAGATGACTAATCAATTATTCAGTCTTTTAAAGAAAAGTACATTTTTAATCATACAGATACACTTTCTCTGGTTATTGGACATTGATCTTTAGACGTATGTTTTCTCTTCTACTTTTATTACAAAAAGTCTTTTTTTACAAAAAGTGACAGCAGTAAAGGACTCATGAATTTACGTTGCCACTAAGCTGTATATACAAGTATATGGACAAAAAATCGATACATAAGTCAATCTATTAGATAGACGCAAAACCTATAAAATCATCATTTATCTTATCCCACTCGAACACTTTCTGGAAATTAGAAGTGGTACTCTCAAAGTAAAAACGTAAAATATATTCAATTACTGACATGATGAAAGTTACTTTTATCGATGATTCCATATATTTCATACGCTTGTTTTAATATAAAGGTATTGTAATATAAGATGGAAAAAGTTACAGATATTATTTAACTATTCAATATAAAAGTTTCTAACTTAATATTCAACAAAAATTGAAAATTTAATTTAATTGTTGATTTTATAACACTTTTAAAAATAGTTTATGAAAGAGATAACTTTATGAGTTCGACGCTCTAAAAACATCCGAATATGAAAGTTGACCAATTTTTCAGTCAATTACAGCCTTGACTTTCTCAAAATATATGAATTGTCCGCGTGCGACGCGCTAATAATCATGGCCGTGTCCATGACCATGACTGCTATGCCCTTTATCATGGTGATAAATTGTTTTGTATACAGGTATCTTAATAGGATAAGGTTTATACACGGGAACTGGAATGTGTTTTTCGATTTTTATCGGCACGGGCTTCTCTATTGGTACGGGAATGTGTTTTTCCACAGGATAGGGTACCTTCTTTTCAACTGGCACGGCAACTGTTTTTGTGATCTGAATTGGCACTGGTTGCGAGACAGGAACTGCTACTGGATAGGGTTGAGGTATTCCGACCGTTACTGGGTGTGGCACATTGATTTTTACTGGTTGAGGTACTGGTATTCCTGTCAAATGGATAAAGAAATATTTTTAATATTGTTTACATCAAAATCTGTATAGAATTATGCATATTATTGTTGGATTGATTAATAATGCGGATTGATTGATAAATTATATAGAACTTTTTTTTACAAAATATTATATAATAGACACTATTGAATACAAATCCATGCATTGATTTATAAAACATTTTAAATGTTTCATTTTTTATCTTATAAAATTATATGTAAGGTGTAATATTTTCAATAATTCAACCAATAAATTAACATCTCTTTATCAAGAAATACATCATGGAAAATTCCAATCACAAAGTTGCAATCATCCATTAAGCGCAGCGAATCAATAGGCCGTGACGCGTCTCTTATTGCGCATTAGCAAATTGAGGGTACAAACACGTGTAAGTAGCGTGAAGAGAGGAAGGGAGGGAGAGAGAGAGAGAAACAGAGAGCTTTGATCCATTGGGCGAGAAAGCCAAAGGCAAGTAAATTCCTTTGAATTACCGATTTCCTTGTAGACAGGCACTGCGACTGGCTTGGTCACCTCGACGTGCTCGGACACAGGTACACTATGCACGTAATGGGGTTGCTGCTGGTGCTGCTGATCAAAACCATGTTCAAAGCCTGAGTAATCATATGGCTGATGCTGCTGCTGGTATTTATCAACAGATTCTTCGTCCTGGTGATTATCAAAACCATTGTAAGCTCCAATAAAGTCCGAATTGTCATAGCCCTGTTCTTCTGGTTGCGGTTGGGGCTGGTGGTGCTGTTGTTGGATATCTTGATCGGACCTTTCAATAGCTTGATGATACTGAGGTTGATGATGATGAAAGATCGGGAGATAGATTTGATTATCCCAATGGGGTACTATGATAGGATTAGCTGCTGCCTGTGATATTAGGCTAGTAATCAAGAGCTGTAAATTATTTTAATTACAAATTAGCTATTGGAAATTTTACTTAATAAATTGTTATTGTATAAATATTTCAGTAATTATAAAATGTTTAAGCAATTATAAATATTTAAGCAATTATAACTTTCAATCAATGACTTCATAAAAACATACAGCGTTATATGTTTTATGTAATTATGTAGTCAGAATAGTTGTCGAGAATGGTGCACTCACAAATCCAGCCATAATTGTCGAGATTCGCAAATGTAATATTCGGCTTGAGAACCGAAGCGACATTGATAAGTGTAAGTTGCCGTCTAGTACTCGAGTTTCCAAAGCCAGTGGCGACGTGACTGATGCATCTTCGAGCTATGTCACTGTTTAAATATACCACGCCACAAAAGGTTCCTCGCTCCCCCACCTTTCACTGTCAACCCACTGATATTGTTGTTCGCCAAAACCTTTCGCCGGGAATCCAAACGAGAGTGGTCAATTGTTCGTCGACACAATCGCCTTCATATATCGACGCGGAAAGTATCTTGCTAGGTTGCGTTCACGATTAATTACCCGTAAACCATAGATATATTCAGCGAAGAACGTAAGGAAATGACGAATGAGCTGTTTGCTTATTGACGGTATATCGGAAAATGAACAATACAGGCTTTCACTTTATGCACATTCTGATCACAAATCAATAGTCGATAAGGTAAATGAACTTTACCTCACATATTGTATCCAATTCAGGTCAATTTCGATTTTTATTACAGTGCTGCTCATATCATACCGCAAATCTTTTATGACATAACGAAGGCAAAGTATATTACATTGTTTCATTTGACAATTAGGAACAATAAATTCTTAAAAGTGTAACTTCACTTTTAAGATACTTAACTATTAAGTCTTCGCTAGTAACTGATAGAGCTGATATACATCAATAGATTGCTATGAACCTCGAGTTTCCCTTAAATCTTAGAAAGTTTGTTCTTTTAATATTCTACCATGTTATTTTCTTTTTATGCTTGAAAATACGATCTGTAGTAACATAAATACAAGCAATTTGAAAACGATATGGATACTGTACAATAGCGCACATTACTTGGCACGGTAATGATACTCTGCAAAAATACGTATTATTAAGCGAAACAGTGCTGATGTTTAGAGATATAGCTGATTTCTTGCGAATTCTAGTATAACACATCTTACACGTTAATTTTCCGTATCTCACTTTCACTTTTGTTTACTTATCACTTTGATTTCTGTTTTAACAAAAGAAGTGTTCACTTTCGATTTAAAATAGTCGAATATGTATATAGTCACGAAGTATTTTTATGGTTACCTATGTACATTAGTCTCGCTAAAATTACGAAAGCACGCATCCTTTACGTGCTGAAAAGTAAACGGATTAACAATGAAAATGTTTTGAGAAAGTGAAGAAAAGTAAAGGAAAAGAATAACGCAGAACATTAATTACATCAAAATCAATCGACGTCAAATTCAAAATACATCTACCACAAAAACAAAAGTTGAACTATGCGTACGAGGTATTGTGATAATACAGAGGGACTACGAAGTTGAAACCGTCATGGTAAAATGTCATACGCCTACGCACAAAGAAGCACGCTCACGCGGACAGTGGAATTGTAAGTGCACAGGTACCGTCGCCAACTGCCGCGCACTACGTAGCGAAATTAATGAGCCGCTAATTTCTTGTTTACACGCGGTGTAACAGCGTGGCAAAACTTTCGCCCTGACTCCTCGTTAACCTTGGACAATTATAATAATTCAAGTTCACCGTAACCGGCCGCGATGTGTAGAGAGCATAACGACGCCGCTACAAGAGCTTTTTATGATGCGACCAAAGAGGGAAAAAGAGAAGAGGCACGGGCGTTCACTTCTGTTATACTTTTAATTAATGAACGCCGACGCATTTAGACTCAATTAGGCGAGGAGTTTTCGTTGCGATCGCGCTGCAGATTAGCATCCGCTTGAGACCACTGCCAAGAACTGTCGGGATGAGCAAATAACTTCACTTTCCAACTATGCCTGTTTCAGGATATAGTTATTATTATCTCGTTAAGCTTAGATACTTGTGATTCGCTAAAGCCCTTTTATTGTGATACCATGCATAAAATTCGTCATACTTTTTACATTTCTTAAAAATTTTATTCTTATAACAATAAATATATTTGGACATGGATTTGGATAATTATTAATTTAATTTTTTTAATTCTAATTACGTTTGAAGAATAATATATTTAAAACGGGGAATGAAATGTTATTTTTTATTTATGCCTTAGATTTTGAACAATCACCATCAAAATGGTTCTTATTTAAAATTAATAATTAGCTAAATGAAATTTTATAAAGCAGAACATAATGTACTTTCTAGAAACTCTTGTGTGTTATTAAAAAATTTTAAAGAAATCAATGGAGTTTTGTATCAATATTTAAAGCAAAAGTATTTACATTTAATTTATATTTAATTTACATTTAACTCAAGTATGTAACTTAACAAACATTCCGAAAAAATCATAAATAAAAGTAAATTAATTACAGCTTCTTTATATGTGTATATATATAATTGATTTAAAAATATTTACATATGATTTCACATAAAATAGTTGAAATTAAGATTTCCTCACTAAAAGAAACATGATGCAACTTTAGCAATATTTATTTTACTCAATTTGATATCTCGTCAATACCATATTGTTTTAAGAATAAAAAATTATTCAACATATTAATTTCGATAGGTAACAATTCACGCAATATCAGCTGCTATCACCTGCAAAGTTAGCAATAACATTAAAAATTCTATGAAAGTAAAGAACACATAAAGTCTTACAAAGTAGCTTCTGTGGCATAACAAGAATATACATGCACTCGGAAATATTAACACAATTTTCAAAAATATTGTAACATCATTCATTCTCGTTTTACTGAACCGGCATTAGTAACTCTTTCGAGCTAAATTCTTTTTACACCGTTTCTTTGATATGTGCTTCCGGAATAATTAATGGACTTTTCTCCGGCTTTTTCATCAGTACTTGCAGACTCTAAGAATCAACGATCTTCTAACGATGCCAACCGTGACTTTTATGAAGAATATGCTTGTAACTTGGTGTATGAATCGGATAATGTTTTTCCACGGCAACGGGTACGTGTTTTTCAATATGAATTGGCACGTGCTTTATAACTGGTACTGGAATGATTTTCTCTATCGCAAACGGAACTTTTTTCTCGACTATAGTAGCGATAGTCTTGATCACCGGAATCGCTACAGGATGAGCTATTGGCACATGAACTGGGTAAGGCTGAGGAACTCCGATAGCTTGAATATGAGCCACAGGAATTCCAATTGGCTGAGCTAATGGTATACCTTTAATAAAAACAAAAAACCAATAATATAATTTAAGATTTACAATAAGTATTGTTTTTAAATCTACAATAAGCTTGCGGATTGAAAGATTAAGCTATTCGTATATGTACATGACAATCGATACATACCGATATTTTTAATAACTGGTACAGCTATTGGTTTGGACACTTCAATATGAGCGGCTATGGGTATAGGATGACTGTGATATGCGTGATGATCATGTTGAGGCTGATGCCAACCATGTTGTTGCCACCCATGTTGATTCCATCCATGTCCATGTCCGAGAGTGATGGCCTGGCCGTGCCAGCCTTCGCCACCGAGTGAACTAAAATCTTGGGTTTGGCTCCCATCACTCAGCCGATTGTTTCCGAGATTTATATCGTTTGTCGCCAGTTGTCTGAAAATAAATTAATGACTGAAAGATAATTATTTATTAATGGAATAAAATTAAGCTCTTTGCAAATTTAATTACTTGTCGTTTTAGCTTGAGTATATAAAAAATACTTACTGCCATTCTCCGAGGTCATCCGCAATTGCATAATCAGCGAGTAAACATTGTGCGAGTAAGAGCGCAACAGTAGCCTAGAAAACGAAAACAATGCTAACATCAAAGTACTATGTAGTTAACGGGATTACTTCCTCGACAGCACTGCTTGCTTTCCCTCTTATTAATTTCCTTTTCATTGCCTCCTCTCTTGTAAGGGAAATCGGAGATACAAACGCGTAATCGGAAAAGCATTTTCGTTCCCGCATCGATTGTTACGTTATCGATCTCAGTAGTTTCACTTCAGCTATAAGTGCAATGATATGCACAATGGCACAAAATAAAATGGCATGCATGAATCATCGCAATCGAAACACTTACACTGTGTGGCATTGTACCACTAGACTTTTAGATGCTGTAGGAAGGCGTGCGCGCCTAATGGTCGAGGCACTACTACGCGTCGCTAAGTGGCTACAATAGATTTTTATAGGTTTACAAGTAAAGACAACTTTGCGTGCGAGAAAGAGAGGGCTAAAAACTGCATTTAAACGTATAGATAGATCCTTCCAGATAAACGATCCCGTCGATCCAGGAAGTCAAACGAGTCTCACGAGTTATATGTGCTTGGCGATTAGCGGCCAGATCAACGTAAATTTCGCCGGAGTCACAGGCAATTTGAACGAGGGGGAGTAAACGAGTAAGCGGGTGATCCGATGGACCGCGAAAGCTGATTGATCGATTCGCAGCTCCACATCACGGGAAAAGAGAAGCGCTTCTGCACACGCCTATACACTCAACCGGTTATACCTGCAAAACGTTAACGCTTCCTCATTTGTCAAGTGAGAGATTCAATTTTTTGCTTCCGTCAAAGAGAGCCAGAGTTGAACAACGTGACTCCAGCGTATTTGGTTTGATATTGCGATAAGCAGATTGAGATTGTGGCTCGTTATACTAACGCGGAAACGGATGGACTAAGTAATACAACTTACATTTTCAAGAAATTGCTAGGCTGTTATGATATTGTTTTTAGGCACGTACAGATGACATTTCTTTCATTACATTCATTATATATTACAGTTTTCTCACATGTATTAAAACTGAAAAGTGCGTTACTTGAATAAAAGCTATTAAATTATGATAAAACACTTCATAATGTTTTTTAACAGATTATTCTTAACAAACGATATATCTAAGTAAAGGCTAACCTCTAATTGAAAATTATTTATCTCAATTCATTTAACATCTCTTTTTTCTGATCGGAATGTCACTAAGAATGTTAGCAATTTAAACTAGTAACGAAACTAGTGCTATAAATGATGCTTAATTGAATAGCCAATTAGTTCGGGCGTTAACTCGCCGTACGATCAAGTGACACTTATAGTA